GTAGATTCTTACTCAGAGTAGTTCCCTGCCATTCCTCTCTCAGGACAGGGTCAGTGCTGCTGGCAGTGCCTGGGCATGCTGCAGGGGTAGCTGCTCTCAGGGTTAGCTGCTGGCAGGGTTAGCTGCTGGCAGGGTTAGCTGCTCTCAGGGTTAGCTGCTGGCAGGGTTAGCTGCTGTCAGCCCATGTGCTCAGGGCTGGGGGGAAACCTCCAAACCTGGAGCCTGCTCAGCTCCTCTGGGCACCCTGTTCCATGCCTGACTGTCCTCAGAGTGAGAACAAGGAGATGCATTTCTGAACATTACTGCAGTCCAAATCAAAGCCAGGGCTAGATCTAAGCACGTGGAGCAGTTTTTGCACTTAATGTACCATCTAATAACTTAATTATTTTTTTTTAAATTCTGGGGATGGCACAAATATGACCATGTTTGTCATTTGTTTCAGCCATTTAACATTTTGCACAAAACCAAAAACAACAAAGCATTTTAGTGTTGATTTTCCTGGTTTGCAGTATGCCATCAAATTACCATCCAGTTTTATGAAGCAGTTGATAAGAAATAGGTGTTATTGTTAACAATGTGGTTCACTCAGATAATTTTTCTGTACATTTCAGTGGTAAACAATTTGTTATGGTTTATTCCTGGGTTGTTTGGGGTTTCTTTATATTAGACTTAGATTATTTTAAGACTAAGGAAACAAACCAATAAATCAAACAGATCAGTCTTACACTGAAATTATCTTCCTAAGTTTCATTCATGAATTCTTCACACATTTTAGATTTTCAAAGATTTTCCCTGAGCTGTGAGAAACAGGGATATAAATCTGTAACCTCTGTCCACACCCGTTCTATGTATCAAAATATCTGTTACTTCAGAGGTCCAGCATCAATAGCTGCAAGACAGGCCTTGCACATGATCTAGCAGTGATTTGTTTAACATTTTTGTGGATTTGGAAAACAACCTGTTTTCTGTTTAGACAAGCTGTCATTCTTGTTGAATGCAAAATTATTTCCTTATGTATTAAAGTCACAAGAACTTGAAAAAATGTTGGGAAAATGTGGTCCTTCTACTACAAAAAACTCAATTTGAACCTTCTTTTGCTTGAAAGACTGTTATCAGCCAGTAGTTATTCTGATTACTGACTCATAAACTTGCTGATAGCCTTTGACTTCAGTTAGAATGAACAACAGAAAATGTTTTACCTTATGTACAGGGCAGTCTTCCCAGAGAAATTAAAGGAGACACCAATCAGCATCTGACTCCAAACACACAGTGCACGAACAGTAAATAAAAATCAGCAAACTTAATAAAAGAACTTCAGAAAATCTTTACAGGAAATCTTCCTATATTTTGAAACCATTCCTTAATGTTCTTTGCTCTGCAATAAGCACTGTAGTACACCAAAATCAGACCCATCTGGAAACTTGCCAGTAGGTTGGTAATGTCAGGGGTATGATTTATATCCCAGATGGAATACACAAAAATGGGTCTGTTTATAACACAGAATCAGATGTGGACCATGCATATGGACTCATTTTCCCCAACAATTAGACATGGAGGCTGCTGCCCTTGTTTTCTCATTTGTCAAAACAGGGGTACAGGGCCTTTGTGCAGCAGCCAAGGGTGAACCACAGGGATGACTTTTTTTTCTTATTAATCTCACAGAGCCCTGCTAAACTGCAGAAATGTTGCTGATAATTGTAACATCTTCAGTATTTGCCAATTTTGTTTACACAGTACCCTTAATAAACAGAATATGTACCATTCACAAACTCTACAAAATGTATGCTTTAGGTATTAAGCATGAAATTTAGGTTTTTGCTGAGGTCCTTGGATCTTTATGGTGCTGGTTAAGTGTGAAGGGTGCAAGGACTAACTCAACAACTTCAGCTTTGCCT